TGAGGTAGCTGGTGGACAGACCCCGCCGGAGCGGGGAATGTCAGCAGGCGCCACTCTGCCTTGGATGGAGTCATCTCCACTTGAGCAAGCGAGACTCCCTGCAACCACCAGCCACCTCTTCCGTCAGTGGACGGTGACCCTGACTCCAGGAGAGACCCCCGGGACAGCGAGAGAGAGACGGGGTGTCCTTCGGCTGGGTCCCCTGGGGCGAGATTCAGCCTAGCCACAGCGGGGTACGCAAGGTACTAGGTGGAGAGGGGAAGGAGAGAGAGAGAGCCAGGCTGGAGGCCTCCGGGCTCTGCTCCCCTCTCTGCACCAGCCTGAGTCCCCCCAACTCAGGGCTTTTCCCAGCGTGTACCCAGCTCACACAACCTTGTGTCATGGCTCCGGGCCAAGCCTTCGGAATGAGGGGAGAGAAAAGGGCAACGCTGCCTCTGCCTGGGCTGTGCAGGGAATCACCCCGTCCACCTGGAACTGCCCTCTGGGGACACAGCTGGGATTGTAGCTCATTAAGACTTCCAGAGCCTGGCCCCACTGCGGTCACACCATGAGGAAGAACAGAAACACCTGCCTTTAAAATTCAACTGTATCTAGGGTGACCCCACCTGTATTTCAAGTTCCCTAATAGAGGACACTGCTGTGGGGGGGTGAGCTCAAGGGGGTATTTCGGGGTGCTGGAGGGGTGTGTGAGAGTCCTGGGAGATGGTATTTGGGAGGTGCTAGACAGAGTATTTGGGGTGTGTAAGAGCAGGGGCGCCTCTCGGGACCGGGGGAACCTCCCGCAGGCATGCCACTGAAGGCAGCCTGACTGCCACGCTCAGGGTGACCAGCAGGCCACCCCCCGCGGCTTGCCACCCCAGGCAGGCGCTTGCTGCGCTGGTGCCTGGAGCCGCCCCTGGCAATGATAATGGTGTTGCACAGCACAACTGTTTAATGTGGGGCTAAACTGCAACCCAAGTGGCACTTGTTAGTGTGGGAATACTGCCCCACTGGTGCTTACATAGGTGCTGTCCCACCCATTCACTTATTTACTAACGCTTCAGTTCTCTAATATAGACACAGCCTGAAGCTGAAGCGGAAAGAAATGATAAAAAAGCATCAGCATACTATTGAACTCATTTGCATCTGTCTCCGCCTGTGTTTTGGGGCACTGAAGAAGTGACTCACTGTACATGTAATAAAAAAGCAGAGAGCTGATTGCCTCATAGGAGGTACTCATCAGTTCAGAGCACCAGAACCAACCTATTGATACCAACTGATGCCTAGCAAGAGTCTATCCCCAATAATCTGACTTCCCTGCATGCCTTTATTTAATAACTAATATAGTTTTAAATGCTTTGGCAAACGTTCTCTTAATAGGGTTCTCTGACAGACCTATTAAATACATGTCCTACAGTGTGGTGTGGTTACACAGTTTGGATATTCTGTTAGAACATTGTGTAGCCAATACACATTGTCTTGTAGGGAAATAAAGGTTTGTAAGAGTAAAGTAAGTCAGACTGGAGCCTTAAATACTTATATATTGATGCTAAAGTAGCATGCTAAAATGTGATACTTTCATTCCATCTCTTGCTTCTATGGTAGGCTGAGCTCTGTGCTGTCTTCATCTAAGACAAGTGGTGTGAAATTCTGAAAGAGTTGCTTCTTAATGTACATCTTTTAAATTAAGAGTAAATAAATTAAATTGAAGGAGAAACTTCCCTAAGGTCCCCCTTTAATATTGGGTAATCTGCACATTCATAGCCTTTTTGATCAAGGTGACTGTAAGAAAGCATGGATAGCAGAGCAAATCACTTGGAGTGTTTTGAAGAGTAAGTTCTAAAACACAAATGACAGGAAAACAAAGGAACTATTTTTTTTTAAAGGAGAGGGTAGTCCCTCATAGGAATATAAAAATTCTGCACTCCAACTACTTTCATTCATAGTGAAATATGATTTCCCAATTTAGGGTCTGATCCAAAGCACTTTGAAGTTAAGGAGAGGTTTCCCACTGACTTCACTGGGATCAGTAAGCACAACTTTCCTCTAATTTTACTATTTTGAGTAGAGTCAGGAATGTAATTTTTCTCTTCTCCTGTATACAACACAGACTCCTGCTCATTGGTACTATAAAGGGAGCTGCTGGGTGTTGGGAACTTTTGAAAGCCTGGCTTTATTTTGGTGCCTAAATGGGCACTGAGCACTAGGAAATTTGGTCCTGAACTTTTTTGAAAATATAGCCCTATGTCTGTATGTGATATGTGTCCCATACAAATACTATTAGAACATTCCCTCCTGTCTGGACAGACAGAACAGCCTAATATCAGAGTATCCATAATGCCTTAAATGGTGTTAATACATATATTTCACAATATCATTCCATAATATAGTCATAACTCTTAAAACCCCTTGTGTACCTATATCACACAAGCATATTGATGGTCAGTGAGTTTTTTGTTTTCCAATGAAACATCACAAGGCATATTTATTGTAATAATCTTTGTACAAAGTGTGCAGGGTGTGACTACAGGGGTGCTTGGTGTCACAACTATACTAATGGCCAGATTATAGTGTATTCATATTTAGTACCCTGAAAGGATAAATTTGTGTAAGCAGACTTCTTGATTTTTATCTCTTGTGACAATCTTAATCTACCTGAGTGATACATTTTATTATTGCATTTTTTAAGTGCTGACCAAAACCTGTATTTCTCTAGAACACGTAGGGGCCACTACTGTGAATTTATCATTAACATGCTAAAGAGTTATGCTTCAAGAATACTGTGCCCTATTCGTCTGCATTTTAATAGAACTTTCATCTAGAAAGATTTGAAAGTGGTCTTTACCAGACACAGGCAGTGTTCATTAGAACAATGAAAGGGATTCATTTGAAATAATATATACTTCTACAGTGCATTCCATTCAAGCAACTCAAAGCAATTAATTGCACCTCACTGCACTCCTATGAAGTCAGTATTAGGCCAATAGGGGGCTAAGGTCTTGTAGGATGTAGTGTCTAGATCAGGGGTTCTCAAACTGGGGGTTGGGACCCCTCAGGGGGTCGTGAGGTTATTACATGAGGAGTTGCAAGCTGTCAGCCTCCACCCCAAACCCCGCTTTGCCTCCAGCATTTATAATGGTGTTAAATATATAAAAAAGTGTTTTTAATTTATAAAGGGGGGTCACACTCAAAGACTTGCTATGTGAAAGGGGTCACCAGTACAAAAGTTTGAGAACCACTGGTCTAGATGCTAGATTGGGGGGGGGGGCGGGGGGGAACTATGGAAGAGTGATTTGCCCTAAACCTCACTTTGAGTCAGTGAGAGAGCTGGGAATGGAACCCAGGAGTCCTGACTCTCTCATCTTACTGAACTACTACTAGAAAACATAGGTACACATGCAACACAAATATACATAGACAGCACTGATGACTGGGAAATAAATTGATTGCTTAAATTTTCATATAGGGCACAATTTTAAAGATCTGACTTGATGATATTTAGGCACATAAATATAAGTGGCCTTATTTTCAAAGATACGGAGCACATGCGGCTAGAAATCAGGTCACTTATATTTATGTGCCTAAATATGGATTGAGAGCCTGACTCTAAACTTCCACTTTGAAAAATGTTGATATTTTGTCAGAGCAAAAGAAAAGTTGGATTGTTAGGTGTTGCAGGCATTTGTCACTTATCAGTTTGAGACATCTTCACACCCAGGCTATGGTGCAATATAAATAGGTCAAGTATCAGGGGGTAGCCGTGTTAGTCTGTATCTACAAAAACAACAAGGAGTCTGGTGGCACCTTAAAGACTAACAGATTTATTTGGGCATAAGCTTTCGTGAGTAAAAACCTCACTTCTTCGGATGCATCCGAAGAAGTGAGGTTTTTTACTCACGAAA